TAAAACTCAATTGTCAGAGTTAGTAAGTATACCACACCAACAAAGCCTTGTCTAAAAGGAAATCAAAGCAAATAGTTAAGATCTCATATCACCTGTAACACTGAGCAAATGCATAAAAATACCCAAGGTGGGGGGTAAGAAACCCTAGAAAGGGATACAAACTAGATAAAAATACTCAATTTCTTGTTTTGTCTTCACTATTGAGATGAAGTTTACATAAACAAAGAATACAATGCATTTCTTGTAACTGTTCCTTCATTTGAAGCAGGAAAGCACTACAAGTCTGTAAAACAAAGCATTTAAAAGCAAGCAGCGAAACTTGAAAAAAAATTATACCTATAAAAATGACATGAACTTATTACCTGATATTATAAAGGGGCTGTGTCTGATGTACAACGATGTTGCATTTTGGACATCTGTTGCTATAATAGAAGTGTCTCACTATGCAGCTTTTACAAACTGTAATGAAAGAAAAGAAACCCCATAAAAGCCCCATGTCCATTATACAATACTATCTGTTTAAGCAAGAGGAGCAATTACACCCAGACTGCTCAAATAAAATTTGTCAGAAACAAAATGAAGCAAGTTTTTCAACTTTAAAACTCAAGTAAACAGCAGCTCTCTGGTACAGGGTACAATACTCTTGAATATTCAATTAGGATTATTATTCCTATGAAAAATCCTAATCCAACTGATGCAACAGTAGGTGTTCAATGTTGTAATTCTGTTACCCAGAACAAGCGTAGAGCTAAGACAACAGAATACTGACTGCTGCAGACAAAAGGTTTGCTGAAAAGCACCCTACAAGCAGTTTCAGTAGAAAAACCAAGGTAAGAAATTATAATTCTGCCCTTTTCATTGTATTTTACATGTACTTTAAAAATTTGGAAGGAAAGCTAATGAGTGGAAATATCTAGAATAAACAACTTACTATTGAATCAGCTCTGTATCAGCCTGAACATATCAAACTTTTCCACAACATTTACCAGGAAACTTCTAAGAGATCACCACAGTTGCACATGCAACATTATGCTGTCCTCTGTCCTTACTAACAGCTGTGCATTTTCCTAAATTACAACCTGCACTGAATATTACATGGTATAGATCAAGCTAGTAAGCAGTGCCCCATTAAAAAAAAAAAGAGAGAGAAAAAAAAAAAGACATTTCCCTCTATATAGTGTTAGCAGCTGGAAGGACTAGGAAGTTGAGATTCTTGGATTCAGGTGGGAATGTGGGTGTGGCTGAAAGAGTCAGCTTCACAGAAAGGGTTTTATTAGCTTTGAGAGAAAATCGTGCTGTTAGCAATGGAAAACGGTTAACGTAACACAAGGATTGAGGGGAAAAATAACAAGACAAGAACATTGAAACCAGTTTTTTATTATCCATCTATTTCTATTTGTCGGGCTATAGACTAACTGTTCCACGGGTGCATGTAACTCCTGTATCTGAACTGGTATTTCTACACAGCCGCTTACTGAGTTTTGTGAACTTACAAGTTCATATCAGCAACAGTTTAGGAAACTCTCTAGTCCTTTATGAGTAGAGCCACTCGACTTTCTTTTCTCAGTTATATACTCAAATTCCTAGAGCCTACTTAAAAAAAAAGAAGTATGTAGAACTTACAAGTTCATATCAGCAACAGTTTAGGAAACTCTCTAGTCCTTTATGAGTAGAGCCACTCGACTTTCTTTTCTCAGTTATATACTCAAATTCCTAGAGCCTACTTAAAAAAAAAGAAGTATGTAGTAGCTCTGTTTTTTTTTT